TCGTGAGCAATGACCAACATATTCTTGAAAATAAAGAGCACCTTAAAATCTTAAGGCAACGAAGGACAGAATATATTCTGCCTGCTTTAAAGATCATAATTTAATATCAAATATAAACTGTAGAAACTACAAAAATACGAAAACAAGGCAACTAAACCAAAAACAGAGAAGTAACATTTTAAATGTGACTAAATAAATTGAATATTAAATATTTTGAAGAGAGAAGGAATGCTACAGAGAGTAGGTAACTTCCAACAAAAAAGAAACATGTAAACTGAAACAAAATGAGATCCTAATAATATACACATAGGAGACAAGAAAAACTAAACCTAAATATTGCAAAAGATTCTTTAGCTGCTGAAAAATTTTTCCTTGACACTCAGCTGGAACAAATCTAGATAGAATATGAGGTAAGTAAACAGCCAAAGTCTCGGTTTTGGAGGAAAGAGTGAAAAATAACCCCTTAAAATGCTGGGTAGCATTCCACTCCTGCATGCTTCAGAATTTCCTGAGTTTTAGAGAATAACCAATGTTAAGGCAAAGACTAAAAATTGAGACTACAGGTGTAAAAAATACATAAAGTTAAGACTTCGAAGAAGAAATGAATACAACAGATATAGGTAGCACTTCCAACAAAGCGAATGAAAAATTTGAGATAGTCATAATTTAAGAAGCCAGAATGGCACGGATATTGCAGTGACTTGCTAAGCCTATTTGATGTTAGTAAATACACAAATATGTCAGCTTGATAGAAAAAAAAGAGAATAATCATTAAACATTTTGAGTCACATCAAACTTCTGGATGCGAAAAAAAAAAAAAAAAAATGCTCAGTTCTTCAAAAATATTTGTACATAAAGGACTTATTTCCTAATAAAAGTAGCCTGCGTTGAGGCAGTAACTAAATAAGTAGAAAATAGTGATAATTCATACTTAGGGGAATAAAAGGAATACAATGGAAATTAGGTGTTACATGTGGCAAAAATAAAAAAACAAACACCATGTTTTAAAATGGAAAAATGGAGGTAGTCAGTATGTAAGAGGTTCGAAAACAAACTAAATATTTCAGAAACTTTGAAAAATGCTTCAAAATTTTACAAAATATACTGCCAAAATAAAGAACACACAAAAAATTCATAATTTGAGTTAGGTGCTGCCCACCTACTCCAATAAAAATCCTCAATTTTTCAAAAAAAGGATTTAATAATCTAATTTGTAAATATTACCTTAATTTTGAGGAACTGATAAGAAATATCACAAAACAGTATGTGCGATCATTGATCTCACTGTGAGTAGGAGTAGGAAAGGGCTAATTAACATTTACATAAACCACACAGAGTCATCAACACTGTGCATAAAGAGTAGTTTTGGTATTTTTGGGCTTTTCAACCGAGACCGTTTAGGCGAGACAATGTTTCCTGTTACCGAAAACATACGCTCAGAAGCAACTGAAGATCCTTGAATGATGAGGAATTGAACTGCAATTTGGTAGAGTTCAGGATACTTGTATTTGAGTTTTGTTTCCCATTCTTCAAGGGGGTTGCAATCCTTATCTACAACGGATTCATCAAGATATTGACGAAGCTGCATAGGCATCCCACCCAAGTTAACCATTCCTGAGTTTTCCTTTTCAGCGATTTTTTTATTTTCATGGTGAATCCATAAGCTCTTTATTTTTTTGGTTGGAGCTTCAACTTCTTCTTCAACTTGCTCACCTTGCTGAGGTTTCTTCTTCTTCTTTTCTTCAATTTTCTTCAGTTCATTTGAGATCACAGAAAGAGCGTTGGAGATTGCAATTGCACTTTCAAAATGCATCCGTTTAAATCTCGGATCCAAAATAGTGCTGATTGCCAATGGCCTAACATGTTCCACGTCTTTGAATCGTGAATCCATTTCTTCGATAAGTTTGGCTTTTAAAGCCATGACTGGGGCAAGTTTTGGCTTTGTTGCTTGAAGATGCGCATTCAAAGACCAAATTGTTGGTATCACTAGGCTGCCTGAGGCATATTTTTCCCCACTATTTTCAGTTGTTGCTTCTTTAAACGGCCGTAATAGAATGATTGTCTCTTTTATTATGGCTTGCTCATCTGGACCTATGACTTTAGGAAGCTGATTAAATTCAATGAGAACAGCGTTAACATGGTGACAAATGGAATCAACACGTTCCAACATATCAAAGGTGCTGTTCCATCTTGTGATTACATCTTGTATTAATTTTACTAATTCCGCTTCTGGAACACCACTTAAAAGTTGCAGATCTCTTAATTTGTCAGATGCATTCACATTCTGTCTCACAAATGTGACACCAGATTTTACTTTCTCAACAAGTTCTATTATTTCGGGGATTGCTTGAATGGCTGCCCGCACCACAAGATCTTCTTGATGGTCGAAGCACCAGATATGTTTTCTAACCCCCAATAAGTCAGTCACTGCTCTGCATATCTTCGAATCACCATCCGTCGTCATGCCACTTACTTGGGACTTATTGATTTTCCAATTATCTAGGATACCTTTCAACACATTATACAGGTAATCAGATGTATGATTAGATGTTAGCAATTCACAGCCTAAAACGACTAATTTAATGTTAGCACTGGCAGCATCCAGATAATGCCCTGTCAAGGATATATAACTTTTCAGATTATGCTGTTCCGTCCAAATATCCGATGTTAGAGCGAGGTAATTTTCTCGATCCAGTATTTCCTGCATTCTCCGTCTTAGTACCTCGTACTTCTTATCTATTAGGCCTGCCAATTTTTTCCGGTTGGGTGGATGATAGAGAGGGACAATGGTGCTTAACAGTTTCCTGAACCCCGTGTGTTCTACATGTCTGAACGGTAAGCAGTCCTTCGCAGTCATGTAGACTATGGAATCTGTTATCTGGTTCCATTTGGCATGGCCCTCTGAAAAAAAAAGAAGAATTGATTGCAAACTTATCATGATAAAAGAAAAAAGTAAAATAAGTTGAAACTTGTTCAGATTCTCTTTACTTTGCCTACTTAAAGGAAAAAAATAAATATATTATTAAATAAGTTAATAAAAATTCCAAGGCTAAATCTTTTGTTTTGTATGCCATGAGTTGTTCGGACAATTTCTAATTAACATTTTAGCCTGAACTCTTGGAAGATGAGGAAACAAATTCCTCCTGCCGGACGGTGGAGCGAGTCAATGGGGTAGGTTGGACACAGTGTGGGAGCTTCAAAAGCTCATATGTTTGTGAATACTAAGCGTAATAGTTTGAAAGTGGTTCCATTGGTTTTCTTGTAAAATTTTCTTCCAGGAACACCCCTTAAAATTTATATTGTGACAGCATAAACGTCCAAATTTGCGACTTTAGTCAAAAATTTCATGTCCGACCTCCCCCAATAACTCGTTCCACTGTGTGCCTTTCTAAAATTACTTTTTCTGACTTTCTTCTAAATTCTGTAAAACAGTGTGCTTAAAAAAAGAATTATTTAATTTAAACATTTTCATTTTACCATGTACTTAATACAATTTAGACTTCTAAAAAAATTTCATTCAAAATACTAACAAAATACTAGCAATTAGACCTGAAGACTCACAAACCTTCAGAAAATTTTCTGGGGCTCAGGAAAAACCAGAATATCTGAGGTAAACATGAGATTTTTCGTTAATAGTATCCATGAGGCTCTTGATATGTTTTGCTGTTCTGCCATGCTAGGAAAGAACGCCATATGAGCCTTCAGGTGTTGCCAATTTTCCTTGCCCAAATATTTAATGCTCATCTTCGAAAATACAAATTTTTAGGGAAATTAACAAATATTTTCTTCCAATTTTTTAGAGGATTTTATTCGGAATTTAATCTCAAGTATCTGAAAATTTCAAGGACGGATACTCTAAATTTTCTCTGAAATGAATACTTCATCACAAGAAATCTGGCAACCTTCGACTGTAGCTTGCAAGTGAGAGAAGGTCCTGCTTACCCTGAAGATAAACCTGGGCATGTTTTTTTCCCCTCCCCCCACCTAAAAAAAGAATTCAGATAAGAGCCTGCAAAGTGCCTCAAACAGACATGAACTGAAAAGTGTACTTCAGTGCTACGGCTTCTAACTTCACCATGACTACAATAATGTAATTTTATTGTTATTTTGAACTCACCTTTCATTGCTCCTTGATTTGAAAATGATTCTGGAATACTGTTGGGAGTTTTTTTTGAGCTGATTGGAGGTGTCGTTGTGCTGGTTGGAATTGTTGTTGTCCTTGCAGTTCCATCCTGCACAGAGGGAGAAAAGAAAATGTAGATACCTAGTATCAAGGAGTGCATTAGCAATTTAATTTGGTAAAGATATGGAATAGCTTCTGGCCATGCACAGGAACAGTGCCCCCTTGCTTTTGAAGGCGAGAAGAAAAAAGAAAATGATGAAGTATGGAGTAATAGGTACCTTGACAAATCTTTTAGCAGGACATTCAATCCAGATTGTTTTTGAAAATTATCATGGCTATGTTCCAGTTTTAACTACTCTGCGATTACCTTAAGGACTAGGTAGCATTAATTTTTTGTTCACATTCACCTTTACTGTCCCTCTCCTTTTTCTGCCCTAGCCATCTTTTCTATTCCTGGTTTCAGCTATCATTTTCCTTTCTTCTTTCTCTTAGACCAATTTGCTGATTCCCTTCCCAGCGTGTAATCCCAAAAGATGATGACACAACAGATCCGGTTGTAACAATTTGTGCCATAAACAGACCAAATGATCCTTTAGAGATGGTCGAGTATCTTGTCAGTGGCTGTATCAACCTCAGTGTCTAAATTCAACGTCTTTGGGGCGAAACCTTGGCCAAAAAACTAAACGCCAAACATAATGGTTTGGATGGGAGTATTGGTACAAAGGCAAAAAAAAGGAGTAAAGTACATTTTAAGAGATGTAAATTTCAAAAAATAGGGCACGATTTGGATCGTCCTCCTGGGAGGGTTCCGGGTTCCCCCTGACCATTCAGAGGTGTGCCTTGTCAATGAACATATCCGCAAGCCAACTAATCACGCAATATGAAAACTGTGAAATCCAGTAATAACCTGGATTTTCGATGGAGTAAAATGGAATTGAATAATATCTGCATAACCTAAATCCTTCCATTACTTTTGGACGCGGTCCATTGCTCTTCTTTAACAAGGCAGACGAATAACAAAATTAGCCGGTGTACATACCTCGTTCGATTTTGCTTTTTTGTTTTTGGGAGGCTTGAATAGATCATACAACGTTCTCCTTTTTAAGTTAGATGGTGCTTCCCCACCAGATGCTGTCGGTGTTTCAGTTTCAGTTTCAGTCGTGTGAGATGGGCCAGCTGTGGGATCTGGTCCAGGGTCATCAGCATCTTCTTCTTCTGAATCAACAGCGTTAACAACACTATCTATGGTGGCTGATAATAGAGGATCTTGATCAACTGCAGTGGTTGTCGATGAGGTTGAGGCCCTGGAGTCAGTGACTGGCACTGGTACGGATAATGTCCCATGTTGAGAGATGATGTGATTCTTCATGTTAGTAGTGTTCTTACAATACTGGAGTGTGCATTTGCACAATGTGCAAATAACTTTTGTGTTGCCCGGCAACAATT